GAACAGAAATCACTGAGGATCATAGTATTAGGCATCTGTCTATACATCCCAAAATATTGGCTCAGGGTGGGTTTACTGCAACAAATGTTTTCTGATATTTTTAATCTTATTTTACATGACAGCTGTTGCTAGAGAATTCACCCCAATATGAGCAAACAAGTGTTTGAAATAAATTTAATACATAATGCATACCAAAAGTAATAAAATATTATATGAAATAGGTATAACATTTGTTTCTGTTGCAAGACACATACCTTTCTTTTTCAAAATCTTTTTTGAATCAGGCAGAATAAATTATTTAAATAATACTAAAATAATTATAATTTCTCATATAACAAGTTGATAGGGTTAAGGTTAAAGGAAAGGGAATGGATCAAGGGTGTTCATCCATACATCAGGGACATACCAGAATTCACTTCTTGCCACTTGGTTCATGAGCAGGTAGTCACGTGCAGATGTAGATCATTCATTGCCAAAGCCACAACCATGACCACCCCTTGAGACCGTCATTTAGACGTTGGCATTAAGTGAAGAAAAAAACTTCAGGAAAATCCTACCATTCACCACTGGCAACTTCCCACTGAAATTTGGGCCAAAGGATGAAAGTGATCTGAGAAAGTGTACAAAAAGATTGTGGCAAATTGAAAAGCTACACGGAACATGTAAGGGTTTCATAATTTTGTTCTAAAAAAATCTGAAAACAGGCCTCTTTTCTTGGAAAGTATTGATAGGATAACAAAAAGTCACATTTGCAAGAAAATGCACACTCATTTCAGAGCAAGATTGGGCAAAAGTTATTCCAGTTTTCCAGCAAAAGTGGATGTTGTCCTACAGATCCTGAGGTCATTGGTGATTAAGTGCAGATAAGCAGGTTGACTTAATTATCCTTATAAGAACAAGTCCTTCTCCCCTGTTTTTGAAATTACAGCCTTTTGTTCTTTAAACTGGATTTCAAGTTTTTAGATTAAGTCCAGAAAAATAAAATGCTAAACACAGGTTACAGTTAGTGATATCACCAGAAAAAGTTATGTTTAGTCATAAGTATTTCCAGAATAAAACTCTGAACTACAGTTTCATTTTTGGAGTGAAGGTTCATAAAGATTAACCGAAGGGACATTTTGTTTTTGTTTTCCTTACATAGTCTTGTGAACCTACTGCTGTGGGAAAGTTCAGTGACACTGGAAATACACATAATTGGGTTTTAATAACCCCAGTGGTACTTTGCTGACTAATGTTAATTTAGCTTTTGAAATAAGTATCTTCTTGTGATCATTTTGTTTCATGCACCACATACATGACCACATATATTTTTTAAATGTCCTGTGGTTGAATATTTAATCTGCTCACTACTAAGCATGTTATTGGACTTTAAAACTTTTGTTGTTGTCTTGTTAAAGAAACTGTGCCAAAAGACGTCTGTTTTATTTTTGCTGCTAAAACCCATGTTACTGTAGGCATCTACTGCAATTGAATAGTTCCAGATAATTTTGTACTTTAAGAAAAGCCTTGTATCAAATCTAAGATATAGCAGGACTATTTGCTTATTCCAGAAACTGGGGTGTTTCTTCTAAAACATGTTTTTCTTTGAATGCTGGCACAGCCACTTAGACTTAATTTCAAAATTGCTACATTAGCAGAATTCCCAGACTTTGACCTGTTTATGGGTGATGTCTGAAGACTTTCAGAGTACTTTTCCCAGAAAAAAAAGAAAAAACATTAATGTCTCAAAAATTCTGTGTTGCTGGAAACTAGTATTTGGCAGGATGGTAAGAAAATGGGAGTAATATTGTTGCTTCACTGCATTATTCCAGATGTGAATAGGAGGGAAAACTATAAACAGGAACATATATTTTTAAACATCAATTCTACTGTACAAGAAGCCTTGGAATGAGTTCAGAACATACTCAGATTTTTTCAAAACTCTGATTAAACATTCAGTACATACATAAACCACAGTGAAGTGATGGTCAAGAAGAATGAGAATTTGAAATATGTCTTTAGACAGAAAGAAGAAATGCTGAGTAAAGGAGCCTTTAAAAAATAAAAATCCTTTCTAGTCCTACCTTTTATGATTTGTATGACTTTGTTTAAAGATTTTTTTTTATTTAATGTTTGTAAATCTTACATTAGTAAAACCTTAGCAGGCTTTCTTATTGCACATTAAATTTATTCTATTTTATACAAATTGAAATTTCAAACCAAAAAAGGGTAAGCCATCTCAGTGGGCAGTTGCTTCTTCAACTACTCTATTTTAAACATTCAGGAGCTAGAGAAAATTCAAAAGAGAATCATAAGACTCATTCAACAGCAACAAAAGTAAATTATAGTCTCCACCTGCAGAAAGGGAGAAGGAAATACTAAAGGCAAACCTTTCCTGTGATGGTTTTCTCTAGAGGTGCACTGATACATTGGCTCCATATCGGATTGGCACCGATATGAGGAAAATTGAGAGTATTGGCAATTTGAATTTTTTTGCCTGATGTGGTTGATAATGTGGCTGATAAATGCTGCATGCATGTGTGCAGCCGAAGCATTCACGCAGCCAGAAGCGTCTCCCAGCAGCCAGAGAGCAGCCTAGTCTGGCTGGTAAGTCTGTTGTGGGGGAAGGGGGGAGGGAAGGGTCGTAGGGAGGTAGATTGAGGCCCTTGTGGTGAGGGAGGGAGTGTGGCTGGGGCAGGGGCAGGCACTGCCCAGTCGGGGTGGCCTGGGGCGTGGGACAGAGCTGCAGCTCATCTGGAGGGTGCGGGGGAGGGGGGCAGCTCCTGCCTCTGTGTCCACCGCAGGAGGGAAGGGGGGGGGGAGGCGTGTGCCCCCCCAGATCTGTGCAGGGTGAGGGTAGTCTGTTGCTGCAGGCTGGGGCCGGGGCTGCACCAAGCTCTTCCCTGTGGGGGCTGGGCTGAGCTGCAGTCAGGGTGGACAGCAGCGGCATGGGGAGGAGGGGTTGGGGAGGGGCTTCAAAATTCACCATAGCCCCCCTCCCAGCACTGCCACCGCCCGCCTTGAGTGCTACCTGGCCCAGCCTCCTGCTGAGAAGAGCCCGGCACAGCGCCCAGCCTGCACCAGCAGCCCACCCTTGTCCCACGCGCAGATCCGGGGGCACATGCCCCCCATGCCCTCCCAGGGTGCACACAACAGTGGAAGCCACCCCCGCTCCCTTCCCTGCACCCACCAGGTGAGTCATGGCTCCATCCTATGCTCTGTCCACCCTGGCTGGGCAGCACCTGCTCCAGCCCCACTCCCTCCCTCACTGCAGGGGCTTCTATCTGCCCTCCCCACCCCCACCCCTTCCCCCACAACAGACTTACCAGCAAGACGTCACTTTCCAGGCTATGGGGCTGCATATCAGAATTGGATCGGTATTGGCCGATATGGCTTGTTAAAAATTGGACATCAGTATCGGCCCAAAAAACCTCTTATCAGTGCACCCCTAGTTTTCTCCTGTGGTATTTAAGTGGAAACCATTAGCCAGTGTGCAGAACCCATGTAAAAGGGCTTTACACAAAAAACTGTAGAGATACCAAAAGAATGGGGTCTTGCATCCCAGTCTGTAGAGAGTACAGAGTTCAGAAACTGTTAGTACAGCCTGGGGGTCTTTATGACACCAGAACTGTCACTGAAAACTGCTGGACATACTCTTGTCATTCTCTGAGCCTGCCCATGACACCGCAGAGCTAGTATTCATGATACACAGGATCATGCTAACCAAACAGTCTGCTTTCTGGCTATAAAGTGGCAGTGTGGCTTTTGTGGGGTTCTGCAGCCATCAAATTTAGCCCTTTTTGAATATTTTTGAGTCTAAATAGCCAAATTCAGATCTTTTGTTGGCCTACTTATTGCTTAACTTTAAGCTACATAAAGTTACGTGAAAATTACACAAGCTATGTACACATGTTCCTAAGATCTGGGAAAATTCTCCTGGGTTTGTTTTCTTGATAAAAAACAAAACAAACAAACAAACAAAAACTTACCCAGAGATGGCTGAACAGGCATTGGAATGCCGAGACCCTGAAGAGCAAAGAACTTGCAGTGCTGATGCTGACACTGTGCAGCTGGGGGGGCCTGTGCACAGCTGACCCTGACTGCTTGGGTTCAGCCTGTGCCTCCCTGCAGTCCACGTAGAGATTATGAAGGGGGCTTGTTCTGTTCCCTGTTTAGCTGCAGCAGCAGAGTCTAGTGCGTGACATGATGTCTGCTGGAGCAAGGTGGGTTTGGGGGCAGGAGCAAAGAACCCTGAGATGCTGGAGGATCTCAGAAGAGATTGTGTACAGACATTCACTCTCCCAAGAGAAACTGTGTTGGGAGTCATTTAACCCTGGCTGTTCCTGGGTTATTTTTCTCCTATACTGGTCATTTTTGGTCTGGGAGAAAAATCCTGAACATCTGTACTCTCATGATTTCTACTTGGAAAGCAGCTGTTTTCCCAGGATTTCATAGACATTAGGATTTCATAGACATTAGGGCTGGAAGGGAACTCGGAAGATCATCGAGTCCAGCCCCCTAATTCAGGAGAAACTGAATGTGTGTACATAGCTGAAGGAAAAAAGAAAATAAGTCAGTAAGTGGTAGAACCAAGAACAGTGAACTAATCAAATCTTGAAATAGACATTAGAGCTTTCATTTAAACAAAATGGAAAAAAACTCAAACTGGAAAGTTAAAACTTTGATTAAAAAATAAAAAAGGACATTTAAATAAATGTGAATGAGGTTAACCAAGAGAACAAAACAGAGAACAGAGAACAGAATATGAGATGAGACTCCCTTACAAGGGACAGAAGTGCCATGCAAATATGAGTCCTTCTGGGAAACAAGATTTTGTGCCACCATGGGGAGAGATATTATTCCCTCCATATTCTCCCAAGAGCAAGAATGAACAAACGTCTGCGTGGGTTTGGAACTAGAAGCATTAGACAGAATCCAGAATTGTAAGGATACATCAATTCACAAACATGTTGGAATTATAAAGGAATACTAAGTCTCATTTGAGTTCTTTTTGTCCACAGGGTAAAGCATCAAGTGGAATATTTAGGACTGAAAGAAAATATTCGAGTAAGGAGAGCAGGCTATGCATATAGAAGAATCTTCAAAAAGTTTTTGCAGAGGTATAGTAGCATTGGCACTGGAGAATTCATGGATTGTAGTTTGCATAATGGTGAATAGAGAAAAAAATGTCACAGGTCCTGAAAGCTTTCAGATCTTTATTATGAAACATACAGTTTAAGGATATGTTGAAGTGATATTGTTGCTATGGGCTAAGTACAGACAGTCAAAAAGCCTGAGGCTGAATCGATTCAATCTTTGCAGGTTAGTCTAAACTGCATAGATTGAACTGATAAGCAAGTGAATAGACATTCACTTGCTTATCCATGTGCCTGCAGTGGCCCAGGCCAGAAGCTGGGGGGCACTGGAGCATGCCTCCCAGCCTGCCAGCCACTGCCAAAGGGAAGGGAAGAAAGCCCTCAGAGGTTTCCCCCAAACTCCTTGCTCAAGTGGAGGGGAGCCAGCCAATTATGATGGAGGGGGTTTAAATCTACACCCTGGCCCGCACTGACCCCAACTGGGGACTGCCTGGCTGAGGCAGGGAGGGTGGGGGGAAGCCCTCAGAGGCTTCCACTCCATTACCCCGCTCAAATGAAGGGTGGTGTGTGGCCAGGCGCCGACCAAGCCCCGCTGCCTGAGCAGGGCTGGGGTGGGGGAAGGGGTTTATACCCCCACCGTGGCCTGCACTGACCCCAGCCGGGTTCTGTGTTGCAGAGCAGGGGGAAGCCCTCAGAGGCTGTTCGCCTCCCCTGCCCCAGTCCCTGCTCAAGCAGACAGGAGGGGCGTGGCTAAACTGGCCAAGCCAGGGCCTAGCCGTGCCCCCTCTCTCTGCTCAAACCCCAGGGGGGTGGGCGGGGAAGCCTCTGAGAGCTTGCCCCTGCCAGGCTTCTCCTCCTCCCCCCCTCCCTGCAGCTGGGGTATTGTGCTAGGTCCCCCCCCTGCCTCCAACCCCTTCTCTGCCAGCTGAAGCAATGATATTCCTCTGGCTAGGGAGCAGAGGGGCAGGACAGACACTGCTCTGCTGGAGCAGACAGCACAGCACAGCCCAGGGCTGCAAAGCATCCTGGGATGCTTGGGGACTGTGATTTAACTTGAATCAGGAGAGGTTCTGGGACAGAAGTTCCATGAACTGGTTTGACCTAATTCAGTTGAGTCTGATACTACATTCAACCAGGTTTATCTTAAACTGGTTTTAGCCATTTTGAAAGCAGTTTATGTGCACTGAACTTCTGTTCAGTTACAGGTTTAAACCTGTTTCTGATCACATAAACCAGTTTGTGTGTAACTTCTGTCCCAATGGTCCATGAAATACATAAAAAAGTCAAGAATTTGTGTGTGTGATATCTTTTACTGGACTAACTGCATAGTTGGGATTAGCATAGACACGCTTTTGAGTATCACAGAAGCAGACACAGAAGAGCTAAGTGGCAGATGGAACAAAGGGCTTGTGCACAGCTCCATATGTAGGCAAAAATAGGATACAAGATAAATTAGCAGGTAGCCAACAGACAAGGGAACTGCAATAAAAATCTGATAATTGAAGAACATGATCATTCAGGAGGGTTTTATCATCTGTGAAGTGCAGAGATTAGCAAGTATTTGGTAGATTATAATGGACCATGAAGTCACTGTCTATGTTAAATCCCTGGTACATTTGTATAATAGGCTAATAATTTTTTCCCCCAGGCTTGCCTTTTGAAGGTGGTTTGTAGATTTCCTTTGAGCTTGAGAACCGAGGTGTGACAGGGAGCGATTTTTCTGTTTAAGAGATATTAAGGGATTACATTTTATTAAGAGATTTAAAGAAGCATGGATCTTTTAAAAGCCAGCTTTACTATTAAGAATCATCGTAGTTTACCTGAAGTGTCAGTTCCTCCTGTAAGGGGTTATGAGAGTTCCCCAGAGATAAAGAATTAGGATCAACTGGAATGAAGAGCTAACAAATTATTCAGTAGAACACTCTGTCTATGAAACCCATTTTCTTCTGAATGTTTTAGTGCTCCTGCTGGCTAGCACTGTGTATAAAGAAAAACATTAAACAATCCATTGGCTCCTATGGGATGAGATTAAAGTAATTTCATTCAAATATTTATATGGATTTCAACTTTTATTGAAGTAATTAATGTACTGCTACTTAGGATCAAATCATGGCAGATTGGCAAACTGGTTCTTTTCTTAAGAGCTTTTGTGCTACATTTGAGATTCTATGTTTTCATTTTTAAACTAAGTTATTTTTGCAAAGAATGGAATCAGAAGGTCAAGTCAGCATTACCATCTGCATCCCTTAGAGGGGAAAGAACCAAGCTGGTCAAGAACAGCCATTTCTCTGTCAGAGATTTTTAAACACTTTTATGGTTAAGAAAGGTCTGTAACAGTAAGCATGACAACAGTTTTCATTCACTGTCATGCCTCAGCCAGGACGACCAGTTCAGTCTCAGTACGAAAATGTCATGTATAAAACCAGATTCACTCTGTCAAGAGTGATATTTGGGATATCCTAACCATACGCAGGATATGTAAAGCCTGTGTATTCTTTTAGAAAACATTAGGCCAAATTCACTGGTGAAGTAGCTCCAGAGAAGTCAGAGTTACTCCAGAAATAAATTGTCTCTCCATCCTGGGATGATTCATCCTGGACTAACCCTTCACATTATTCTACTTCCAGTATTTATGTGCTCCTGATTGTCTTAGCATGGCTCAAAATGTTATGTTGAGAGTTAAAAGTTAGAGAATACATGCTCTTTGGCAGGCAGAATAATGAACTAATAATAGTTGTTAAATATAGCCTCTGCTAGATAGTGGTGAAACACTGACCATGTGTGAGGGTCATGCAGATCCAGAAATCTCTCTGAATAAGAGGTCTGAACAATGAAAGCTGCATGGCAGCCAAGGAGAAAGGTGACTTGAATTCTACTTTCTTGCTCATATGCAGAGATCTACAAGCAACCTGCCTGCAGTAGGAGTTAGTCTCTTGTTTCAGAGCAGTTTTGTAAAGTTTAACTTTTTGTTATAAATAAAACTCTTCCTGCACCCTTTTCATTCACAGTTCCCTAACATCCAGAACAAGCTCTGTTCTGACACCATGAGTCAGTGTGAGTAAAAAGTGGACCGAGGCATGGGATGGACAGGAAATGCATGCTTGTATAGTTGTTTTCATTGGGAGCTCCTTGGCAGCTCCATATAAGTGGTGAATCCTAGGCTGAATAGACTTTTATGTCTGAAATGTACATTTGCATGCCAAAAGCCAAAGTCACTAAAAAGGCCTATGTGTTTTAAAGCATAACCAATCCAAAAGCTAAACTCCATGCTTCCATATTTAGACATATGACCTAGCTGCTTACTATGGGTTTAGAATGGATTACTTTTTTTTTTTTTTGGCAGTCATGAGTTGGCCTTTTTTCAGAAGTGTTTTAGCCACAGGCTAGTGCTTGTGCTTGATGCCTTCTGCCACCTCAAATTGCATGTGAGATTGAAAAACCTAGATATGTGGAAAGCAATATTACTAATTGAAATGAACAGCTTTGTAAGATACACACATGTGCCTGGAGAGTGTGCTGTGTCACGTGGTAGTACACGATACAATCATATTGTCACATTATACACTAATGTGGCTATGCTGGAAGACATTTCATGTAGTGAATCTTTAAAATGATCATGATGGATGTAACTGTGAGAAAAGGAAGAGTTTCAAATGCATTTTTATTTTGTGTCTGTGGAGTTTATTTATATTGAAAAGATTAAATTGACCCATTTCTGTTTAAGTAGGTGTAATTTAGGTTTCCTTACACTAACTTAGACTCTGCCAGATACAGCCATTAACCTACTTGCATCTACTCTACTGATGAATGTATGTGCTTCTGATCCAGTCCACCTTAAATGGGAGGGAAGGCATTTAATTTATTTCTTCTTACTTGTCCACACAAAAATTTCTCTCATGCAGTTTGTGCATATGCAACTCTAAGATGGTGACCCTGTATTGTCCAAGTTGCATCATCATAACCAGTATTACCTCTGCATTTCCCCTTAATGGGTGCATAAAGCTAGTCAATTTGTTATTATAAATATAGCCCCTTTACCGAGTTGTTTACAAGCTATCCCAATTTTTGCTGAAGTTCAGACAAATAATTTATCTGCTGGATTCTTCAGTCTGTCTTCTTCCTTTAATTGTTTATGGTTTGTTATTTATGTTGTGTGGTGTGTCACTCAAATTGCATGGCATTGGTTTTGCTCCCTGTTTGATTGGATAGCTTTGTGTATGGAAGAAATAATAATGGAGATGCCCCAATATACATTTCCTAACAATTCCTTGTGTGAAAATTTGGGAAGCTTTTGGAGTTTGGGAACACATTCACTAATACTGAAAGAGCTACCTGAATCTTTATGAAAAGTATGAACACAGGAAACCAAACCAAACTCAGCGTTTAGCACCAACCACTGTTTCCACTATTACCACTAATAAATATTGTTCACTCTGTACACCTAGCATGCCTGGTAAGTGTTAGGAAAACAAAGTTATGTTAAAGTTGTCCAATATGGAGATGAATATCAGTTGCAGGGAGGGTTGGCGGGGGTTCGAGGTGGATTTCAACAGAACATCTTTTCCCACACTGATTCTCAAACCAAACTACATAACTGATACTCCAAAAAGTTACTTAACCCTAGACATACTGAGGCATCTAAAACCTACCACATCAGTAGACAGTGAAATTAGAAAGCATTTTAACTGCAGCTCATCAGCTACAAAATGTTGTGTTTCTATCTTGGTAAGCCTAAGGAAACTAGGCAGCTAACAGGTAGTTGTACTTTGGGAGTAAGCTAGTTTCCAGGGCTGTAAATACTAGGTACCTCATTCTCCAGCTGGCCAAACATGTAACCTGTTCCCCATTACAGCATTTCACTGCTTCCTTCCCTTAGTCTTCTTTACGGCCAGTTGCAAAGCACCCCTAATCTCTGAGCAGTTGAACAGCGTCACAGTCTGCACTCCTGGAGCAGAGGACATGCCAGGGCTTCATATGTCAGAGTCAAGAAGAGCTCTGCACTGAAACTACCCATTTCTTTACAAATTAGGGATGCTTCAAATGGCCAGAACATGACTATGGGAGAGAGTAAGCAGCACAGGAAAGAAGAACTACTTACATGTTTGGAAAGGAATCAGTGAAGGACAAAAGATGAGATACTTTGTACCAGAGTATAATTTACTGCTGATACATGTTTGTTCAAATATTGTTAAGAGTAAAGGAAGCAAAGTTTATAATGCTTAGTTTAGTCTCACTCCCGCAATTTAGAGAGCCTGGGAAGTTTGAACACTGCAGTAATTCACACTGAACAGCATCAATTTGGGAAAGAAAGAAAGCTTTAAAATCATATGTCCTTCTACTGTCCGCCCCTTCAGAAGTAGTGGCACAAGACAGAACAGATGGGCAAGCCCAGTGGGGTAACACTGGCTGAGAGTGGTGGCCTTCTACTCCTGTGGTTTGATGCCAAAGTTTACTATTTTTCTTCTGTCTCACTGCTGTTTAAGATATGCCATTCTGACCAAAGCAACCTGGCCTTCCTGGAAAGGAGAGGAGAAACAAGGAGTTCTCCACTTGCTTCAGTCAGTCAACATGGACCCTGACCAATTCCAGCTTGGGAAAACTAAAATCTTCATCAAAGCTCCAGAGTCTGTGAGTATGGCAGATCCTACCTCTTTAAACAGGATAGTGTTAGGCCTTGATAGGTAGCTGCCTACTCAGACACTATGCAAGAGGCCTGCAATGTCAATTTAGACAGGTTGGGCAGATGATATATAGGTGTTTGTATGCAAAAGCTTAGTGGTCCCTACATAAGGGACATAATAAGTAATAAGGGAGCTGAAAGATTATTTTCAAGCAGTGAACAGGAAGAAGGCTTCATAAGGAAGAGAAGACAGAAGGTAAAGGTGCTTTGGTAGAGATTTCTTTTACATTTCGCATGAAGGTTTCATGGCTGTACTTAGGTAGCCAGAAGAGAGAGAAATTGCCATAGGAGAGGGAGTCACAGTATATAACCATCGGTCCAAGATAGGAAATATTGTCAGTGAAAGAATACTCCTAACTGATAGAGGAAGTTAAGAGAAAAACCTCAAGACATTATGGTGAAGAAATGTTTGTCTTTACTAGATAAGCACCGAACATTGTAAAATGCCTGTGACTGAGATCTCACACCTAATAAGCATTAGGGGGGTTGCATTTATCCCTAGTTGCTAAACTTTGGCGCACACCTGTTGAAAAATCTTTTCTTCTTTTTAAGTTTATTATTCAGAAAAGTTCAGTCTAACTAAGAAAAATGTATCTCATTCTCTACCACACATTTATCACCAGTCCTGAGGCAGATTAAGTTTTATGGATGACTGCGCATGAGGACAGGTTTGAAATCGGAGATTACTTTGCTCAGGTAGCACTTTAAGTTCTGTATGCAAGTAAAAGCAGAAACCTTTGCCCTGTTGATTGTTCTATTGATTTTCCTTTTCAGTCTAGACATTCATTTTGTGCTGTATGAAGTACCAGGAATTCAGACAGTAATTGGGCTGTGCCTGATCATGTGGAAAGACTGCTGTCTTACATGTAAAAGGAAAAAAAATACTGATGTTCTTAGCAGTCATAACAAAAGCTGCATGTTTTCCACAAAATATTATGAGATAAAATTGATTATTCAGGAACATTAAGAATTTCAACTCCTACTAGCTGAAAAGGAAAATGATATTTAATGCACTGTTTGTATAAAGTCACAATCACATCATGATCTCAGGCTCCCCCTACAGCAGCAATATGACACATTAGAATCTGATCCCTGATCGTACAGTTGCATCTTCTGTCATGGGTAGTATGGCAGGAAGTGCAATTGTTGGGTTTGTGCTTCATATCCCATGGCTCCTTTAGTTGAACATCTGCCAGGGACCATAGTCACATAACTGAATGACACTACTACAATAGCTTTACATTTTCACCAACACACACAGTATAAATTTTAAAAAGGTATTAGCTCTTTTGCAGTCATAGAATCATAGGAAATTAGGGTTGGAGGGGACCTCAGGAGGTCACATCTAGTCCAACCTCCTGCTCAAAGCAGGACCATCCCCAACTAGATCATCCCAGCCAACTAGATCATCCCAGCCAACCTTTGGAAATAAAGAGACATAATGACATAAAGAGACAGCGTAGTGTATCTTTAACCAGGAAAAGTTTCTTTATATTTTTCATTATATTGGACTGGCATCTAATCCAATTTAGATTTAAAACAAAGTCATATATCCATAATATCTGCTGGAAGATTCAGTAGAAATTAACGAGGGAGAAATTCATGGAAAATTCTTGAGAGCTGGTTGAAAATATTGAAAAATATGCACCCTCTTCAATTTTTGAGGTCAGGGGAGGAGGGAGATTGCAGTATTTTTGACTGTGTAGCAAAGAATTTGAAACTTTTTTTTTCCAGTTAGAATCCTAATTTTCTACTAGACTAGATGAAAGCAAACATTTTCCAGCTAGGTTTGTATTTCCCAAAACCATTATTCTATAATTTCATTTTATTAAATTCATCATACTGCTAGGGTCACATTTCTTTTGAAGGAAAGAAAGATTTAAAAGACTGTCTATTGATATTTGTCTGAGCAAAAAAAATAAAAGTATGTGCTGACAAAAGGGAACATAAGTAGTGTTGCTGTAATCTCAAGTATACTAGCTATGAGCTTGATCATTCCCCTGCTGCAGTTTAGTGATTGATCCTGAGGGCTAAAATCCTATCTAATGTTTGCATGTTTGTGAAGGGAATTTTGTAAGCTTTCTGTATACGGAAGATTACCAGCTAACTGAGAAGTAAGATTTTATGTATGGCAGAAGGCTGTGGTTGTTTATATTTCTGTCACACACCTGAATAAATAACTTCATCTTTATGTACAAAGGCAAGGGAGGCCCTTGTGAAAGTTGTTTTTACTAGATTAAGTTTCCTTTTACTTCAAATCTATGTATGACACTATTTTTACATAGCATTTCTAAGTCTTTACAGGATTTTAGGTGGTAAATTGAAAAAAAAGAGGGGACTTTCTAAAGCAAATCCGTTCTGATCTGCACCCTTTCTGCATGAAAAATTTGAGCAACCTTTTACATGTAGCTTTTTAGGTGACAAACAGAAAATATTGTTTATATTGTTTTTCAGTGATGTCTTTTTGGCAGCTTGAAAAAAACTGCCTCTGGTAGTATAACGCTAGCAAGATATAGTAACCATCAAATGGGCAATACAGTTGTGAATTGATCTCAAAGTTAGCTGGATGCTGGGGCTGCTGATAAAGTCATATTAAGAAAGGAGGAAAGAGTTCTCTTACAAAAATGACAATCTTTTAACAAAATTTGGAGTGCCATATACTGATGTGCTGAAATATAGTCTATCCTATGGTGGTTACAGAAACTGTTCTAATGCAAATACTAATAAAACCAAGTCTGTAAATTTGAGTTGATAAGAGTTAGTATTTCTTTCACTTCTTGAGCCCACTACCAAGAATCTCACCGAGTGCTTTTATACCGTACATATATATTTTTTTTCATCCTGGCCCAGTGTAAAGGTTTGACCGGGGCATAGGCAGCTGGCCTGGGGGAAGGCCCTGGAGGGCAACTAGGAGGTCAGCTAGTTGAGGGTACAGGTTACTGGGGCATCAGGTTGATGTCTGGATCAATGGAGCATGAAATGTGGGACTAGGTCCCCAGAAAACGGAGAGGGAGCTATGAGAGACATAGTACAAGGTGCAAGCTAAGGGCAGAACTCAGAAGAATCAGAAAGCTGGGTGCCGAGTGCCAGGGAAGATCCAAGAGCAGGATCAGTGAAAACCAAAGCCAAAGGAGAGTCAGGATGCAGGGGAATCAGATACAGCAGTGAACACAAGGCTGAACACAAGCCTGAGACTGCAGGTGTGCTTAAAAGGGCTGAGTGGGCAGTTGCATTAGGCCAGGATCAAGGTCAGATGTGAAAGCTCAAGAGCTCAGCCCAGCCAGGCCTGATTGGCCAGAGGCCCTAACACCCTGAAAACCTGTACCAAAAGTTTCAGTGAAAGTGACACATTGCCATTAGGTTTTAAGTTGGTCAAAATGGTATTTTACTTCTAAGCAGCATTTCACTGAAAAAATTGCAACAAACTTCCACTAAAAATATGAAGCTGTAGTTGAGGAGATTACATAAGGTTCTTTAAAGGAGAGACCAGTTTCTCACATTTTTAATCAAAATATTTAAACCAATGTCAACATGTATATCCTATACTTTTAGAATTGAGCGAGAAGGGTTGTTTTATGTTTGTGGGGGGTATCCAGTACTAAAATAGTTGATTATAGGGAGGATGTTCATATAGCATTGAGGTTTTACATACATGTTTGCTTAAGTTTTATCATTTTGTGCACAGCTTTGAGATACTAGATAGTCAACACACAGAAGTAAAGCCAGTTTCTAAAAGGCTTGTGGTAGTTTTTCAATATTAAAT